AATCCTACTTCCATAGTGATACTGCCTCGGAAACCCAAGGAGGGGTCGCTATGAGTCGGGGCCGACTCGACGGCAAATAACAACAACAAATAACAAGGTTAAAATTTGCTCACCCGGAGAAACAGATCACCAGCAAAAAAGAAAATACATGGAGACTTTAAATCCGCGAACTCCACCAGTTTGTACTTAAATAGTCGATTTTACTCTATGTATAGAGTAAAATAAAGTAGAAAGAAATAGATATTGATTCTTAGTGAAATATCACTTTTTCCTTTTCCTTTTCACAGTGTGTTAGACACATTTCTATTTCTTATAACAAGGTACTCCTACAAAGCTTACCAACTGGTCTTATTGGACACTTGCATAAATTCCCTAAGCATAGAAGATAGTGCACAACCAATATTTTATTTCTAATTTTTACAAGATCTCTCTGAGGTAGGAAATATCATCTGCCTTTTACAGATGAGGAAGTGAAAGCTTAGAGTGTGCGTAGCTTAGACAAAGCCACAGCTGGCGGGTGGCAGCCAGCTCGGGTCAGACCTGACCCTTTCTGCTTACAGGGCCGCACAATGTTCTGAATGTTACCCGTGGCCCATGGCTACCTGGCATCAGAATTTCTAGAACCAGAGCCAGAAAGAAGAACAGGCACTAAGATGAGTAAACCCTTCTTTCCAGAAACATCCCCGAATTTGGCAGGGGTCTTTGGTTTGACGCGTTTAAATCTGTATAGATCTGCGGAGGGAGCCAGGGGACAAAGGGGAAGAAAAATGGAAGAACTGCCAGAGCTAGTGGTTCAAGGAACGGGTCGTATTGTGAGGTTCTAACCCCTCAGCAAGGAGCCTTGGTGGTGCGGTGGCTAAGCGCTCAGTTGATAACCAAAAGTTTAGCAGTTCAAACCCACCAGCTGTTTTGTAGGAGAAAGATGTGGTGGTTTACTTCCATAAAGATTGACAGCCTTGGAAACACTATGGGGGCAGTTCTGTCCCACAGGATTGCTAAGCAGGAATTGATGGCAACAAGGTTTAACCATTCATCCCACTTTACCAGTGGTTTGGCCCTTCCTGGTCCTTCCTCCTTGACTTAGAGGCAGTCATCCCTGTGTGACTCAATAACATGAAAATCGCCACATTATTCACTATGAGGCATGTGAGACAGCTGTTGAGTTTGAAGTGTTACCAGAGAGATGTAACAAATTCATTTACTATTGTTCATAAGCTCTTACAGTGGGCTATTAAGGACATGAGACCTGAAATAGCCAAGATTTGACAGTAGAGGAAGTCTGGTGGGATACCAGAAGCATGCAATGGGCCATGAGGCCACTAGGAAAAAATGAGCTTTAATCTTATTCAAAGAAAGGTCTACAGATTCTCTGGTTTAATTTTCTGAGGTTAGTTGGGGATTTTTTGTTTTTGTTTTTGCTTTTTTTGGTTTATTTTTATCCTCAATATCATCCCCAAGGATCTACTTGGAAATAAAGTTCTGGAACACAATGCAGTAGAAATTGATCCAGACTATCCGAATTAAATCAGTTGGAGTTGCTAATATCTCTGAGGGCCAAAATTGAAGTATATTTTCTGAAAAGTTAATATTTGTGCCTTCTCTGAATCAGAGTTTATACTTTTTCAGGGAAGCATGATTGATAAATGATTGAATGAACAATTAAGCACTCCCTCTTCTTAAAAGTTCTTACTTGATAGCTACTCTAATAATGTGCCTTTGGACTTTCTTTCTGTGAAGTAGATGCAGTAGAGTTTTTTTTTAAAAAAAAACAAGTATATTTCATGGTAGTCAAATATGACAATTCTGAGACATACATATTTGAACATATATGTTCAATATCACTTGAGTGTTTGAGCAAGATAAGCACTTTAAGTTTCCTCCTAGTACTTAAATGCTCTGATTTTTCTGAAGTAAACAGAATTTGCTGTAAAATGAGACCTCCTGAGTCCAAGCCTGAGTCAGCTCTGACCTAATGCCTGCTATTTTGGGAAAAAATATTTAATTTAATGTAGCTCAGCTTTTTCATCTCTGAACTATCCCCCTCTTCTGGAGCTTATACTCTGGGTACTCATGTCTGCTTTTGAGAAATCAGAGCAAGTCTTCTGCTCTAATAGATAGGAGAGGAATTCACTTGGGAGAATATAGTCATCCACATTCTGTGAGCCCTGGAGGCCCCTGTCTACAGGGTTGGGGACGTTTGTGACTAACAATCAGAGTTTATGCTGAGGTGCACCTGATAGAATCAGTAATATTAACGTGAATGTGGCAGGCTACCAAGTTGCAAGCACTGGCAAATTGCTTCACTAATTCTGTCCAGAAAAATTTCAATATCCTATCCCATGAATCACAGAAACACAACAATGCAACTCTAAGGGTGTTCAGAAGTCAAAGCTCCTACTCATCTTGCCCATCATTGAGGTCATGGAGAAAGATGGCAAAAGGCTGAGCAGGACTTCAAGTCCCCAGTATATTTATTTAACTCAGGCCCAATAATACAACTACTCACTTTCAAAATTGAGCTGTATACGCTTGCCAAATGTTTGCTAAAGCGTTTTAGCATATACCCTGAAGACTTTGCTAGCACAATATTACAAGAAGCATTTCCCACCCGTGCCCCCAACTGCTTTCTAAATATTTTAAGATCGTTTTTAAAGTAAAAATCTTTTCTCAAGTTTTTGTAGATGTAAGAATCACAAGTACAGCTGCTGTGGTCATTCAGCCAAACAGCCCAAAAGATCAGCCAACATTTATCTTCAATCTAACAATTAGCCAAACTTCTTGCCACAGATGTGCATAATTCTACATCCACCAATAGATGAACTGACCTTAGCTGGTGGAAAGATAAACTGGAAAAGCTAAAAACATCTGTGAGGTTGGCTCTTACCTTTGATACAACTAAGCTTGTTGGCATGAAATGTTGTTTTATTTAATAGTCTTTGACAAACGAAAAGTAATAAAAAGATGAAACAGATGTTATAGTTATTTCCTTAAAAAACATAGAGTTCTGGTAAGATGGCGGAATAGGCAGAAAGACTGCACAGACCCTCTTCAACAAAGAAAAGGGGAACCAATTAACATAGATACAGAAGATAATCCTGGACCCCTGAGCCTTGAAGGGAAGGATATAGAAATGGACTAAACTCCAACTAGCAAAATAATTTGCATGAAAACACCAAAAAAGGAGACATATGGAGCTGTGGACTGGCAGCGATCCTGATGACACAGACAGCTTGGATATTGCCGAGTGGTGATAGGACCTAAGAATTAACCTAAAAATCAGCCCTGCTAGCCAGGGAATGCACAGAGAACTGGTCTGGTGGCTAGTGAATAAAAGGGGAAGCAACAAAGAGGAAGGCAGGCTGAACTGTGGACTTTTGCCTGTCTGGAGGGCACAGCCATTTTGAATGTTTAAAAGAGGCTTGACCATTTAGGATATTTAAAGCAACAGCATTCTCCCAGATTCCAGGGACTTAAGAACTGGCTCCACTTGCCAGGAACTGCAAGGAATTCCCCATACGACACAACTACACCCACACCTCCTGCAGCTTCACTCACTGAGTGAGAGCCAACACCTCCTTCTCCACCAACAGCCCAATGATAAACAACCACCAAGAAGAGCCTGACTCACCTTGGCTACTCTTCACAAAAAGTTAACAGAGATCTAAATACAACAATGTCTAAGAGACAACAGACCATCACAGTCCACACAAAGATGCAAGATAAAGTGGTAGAAACAAGGGAGCAGGATACAGACCCAGAACACATCCCTGAGGAAGAAGCAGCATTGGAA